CACACACACACACACACACACACACACACACACACAACAAACAGATATTGTTAAATCAATCTGGAAGCTATTTGATCAGGATGATTATCAAATTAATAACAAATTACTGTCAATATTTGTTTATAACAAATAATTCTTATACAATCATTACCCTTTACTAATAATGTTCTTTGCAGGCGTTTAGAAAACACACACTAACTCTCATTTCTTCTGCTTTACTCTCTATCAACAACTTTTTCGTTTATTGTTTCTTAGAATTTCATTTTTATCACAAACCAGCAAATAAGTAAAAAAAGAAAACTCACTAAAAATTCAATAAAATGACTTTAAAAGAAGAAGAGAATACACAGAAAAGTTGTATTTTTCACATCAAAATCAAAAATTACTGAAAAGTTCCAACTGAACTGTCCTGGCTGGAACTTATCCAGTTATCATGAGAAGGATGCACTAAATACAGAGACAAAAAAAACCTAAACATAAAACTAGTTTATAAATAAAGTTTTGTCTTGGGGGCTGGGTATAATGTAAATGAGGGCCAGATGTTGTTCGTGGGCCTTAAGTTGAAGACGAGGAGGAGGAAGACCCAAGAATCTGACCTTGAGTAAGATGAGATTCTGACATTATATTAACTCTTTCTGTAATCAGATATGGACAAAACTTGTTTTTCCCCTCATTACATGTAAATACTCAAACTAAAACAGGAGATATTTGTTTAATCCAGGGCTATTCAATTGGTGGCCTGCAGGCCGGATGTGGCCCGCGAGTGACCAAAATGCGGCCTGCCATTTGGTTAATTCATCCCTTAAGACCAGACCACCAGTTTTCTACTTTAATTACTAAGGCTACGTTCACACTGCAGGCAAATCCGACCCAAATCCGATCTTTTTGACCCATCTGACTCATATCTGATTTTTTTTTATGACAGTGTGAACGAGACAAATACGATTTTTTCAAATCCGACCCAGGCCGTTTCAGTATGTGGTTTTAAGTCAGATATATATCTGATGTTTTCAAAGTGACTGCAGTGTGAACGCTCATGTCTCATTCATCTGACTTTTTCATCAGGAGGAGGGGGTGAAGGATCGATAAGACACTAACCTCAAGTCTTGCTGTT